TCCTGGACATTTTCCCCAGAGAGATGAAAACTGTGTCCACACAAAACTCGCCACTCCATTGTTCATGGCAGCTTTGTATGTAATAGCCAAGAACCAGAAACAACCAAAATGTCCCTCAACAAGTGAATAGTGAAACCACCTGTTGTACGTCCCCACCACGGAACGGAACACGACTGGGAAAGAGACGGGGTGGAACTATCGATAGACACAGCTTGAGTGGATCTCCAGGTCATGATGACGAGTGAAGAGGGACAATCACATGAGGTCACGTACTGCATGGTTCCATTTACATATCATTCTTAAAATGACAAAATTATATCGATGGGGAGAAGATTCAGGGCTTGGGGATGGTGGGGGTGGAGGGTGGATGTGACTATAAAAAAGTATCGAGGGAGATCTTTTCTGTGAAAGAGGTCTGCATCTTGACTGGGGGAGTGGTTCCATCATCTACACATGTGATCAAATGACAAATCCCAGCCACTGTCAGACTCTGGGTTTGACCGTGTGCTGTGATTGCGTCAGATGTAACTTTTGGGGGAGCGAGGTGAAGGGCACATCAGCTTTGCCTTTTCCAACCCCTTTATATTTTTATATCTTTCCCAGGGTGCACACTGAGTCTCCCCCTGACTCCGGGGCTTCTCTGTCCTGGGCTCAGTGACGTGTGTGTGTGTGTGTGTGTGTGTGTGTGTGTGTGTGTGTGTGAGAGGTCGGGTGGGGTGAGGACTTTCCCTCAAGGGAAGGAGTGTGTAAAAAGCAGCAGATCCTTCCTCCTTGAAGCCTGGCTGGAGGACCTGGAGGTCAGAGCCCCAAGGGGCGGGGGGGTGAACCATGGAGACTCGGGGCAAGTGGTAAATAGGCAGCTCCACCCAAGTCAGTGCCCAGTCCTCTGGGGACGTGGCTAAGCTCCGTTTTTAGTCCTAACAACTCATGTGCACACACACACACACACACACACACACACACACACACACGGCCTGGATCCCAGCCCCTCACACCACACAAAGCACCATGTGCCCCGTCAGAAGGTCCTCAGACCAGAGGAAAAGCTGGATTCTCCTTGTTTTCCAGAAGAAACCAACAGGAAGAGGGAGGGCCCTCATCCAGGGTCACAGGAGGGTTTGGGACCGATCCCCGGGCAGGCCAGCTGCCCGGCTGTGTGGGTGCCATTCAGTTGCTCCTGAAACTGGCAGGTAGGACCCTGCTGAGCCCACGTGGAGCCAGGGGCCCAACTGCACCCCCTGGGGCCCTGCCCTTGTCATTGAGTCACTGGCCATCTCTTCTCAGAAACTGACCGTGAGGCAGATGCGGAGGCGGCTTCCGCCTGCGCAGCTGCTGGGGCTCGGCCTGACCTCACCTCTTGGATCAGTCAGTCACAGCCCCCGGCTCCCTCCTCTCCCCGATGCAGGGCGCCCCCTCTGTGGCTGGCCCTGTGCTGAGGGTTGACACATATTTATTATCTCACTGAGTCCATGTGAGTCCCATGTGGTGGATCATTACTCCCACTTTATACATGAGATGACTGAGGCGCAGAGAAGTAAGGCAGCCTATCAGACAGCTACTGAGAACTGAGAGTCAGCTCAGGACCAAGTCTCTCTACACACTTCAGCTCCCGCCATTCCTTGGCCCAACTTAGAAAAGCTCCGCCCTCAAGCTCAGGGGAGCCTGTGGTAAGAACCCCCATCCAAGCCACTCAGTCTCAGACTGGCTGGAGGTGAGGCTGCCTGGAAGTTAGGGATCCGGGTCCCAGGACGTACTGGTCCACTCTCTCTGATCCTTAACTTCCTCGTTTGTCAAGTGAACACAATGTTCAGAGGACGGGTGGAGATAAGGCTTACAGTGTCCTTGAGGTGTGTGACCGTAGCTATTATTTCGTATCTGCCACCTGTCCCTGTCCTCCCGCACCCAGCCACGCCCTCGCTCCCATCCAGGCTGAGCAGGTCTTCCTCATCCCCCTTCTCCGACCCAAAAAAAGGACTCCTCAGGGGCAGGGGGCCCAGGGTACCTCCTTCCCTCCTGCTGGCCGGCCCAGCCAGGGAGAGGACAGGCAGAGCCAGATGTTTCCCAGATGTTGCTGATTGTAAGCAAAACAATAGCTCAGGAGTGCTCCTCTGAGGCCCAGGGGCTATTGCTTGAGGTTCTGAGAGCTCTGAGGAAGAGGCAGGGGAGGCCTGGGGGAGGCTTTGGGAAGAGAGGTGAATTGGAGAGGCTGGCTAGGGTAGGATATCCGTGGGAGGGACCCAGAGAGGGGAGAGTAAGCAAAGGGACTGGGAGCAAGGCAGGGAGGTGAGGGTAGGGAGCTCAGAGAAGTCTGGTGAAAGGGAGGGGACCAGGGAGGAGCGAAGGCTGAGAATCAGGCTGACCTGCCACCATTGCCCCCCACCCCCAGCCCCACCCCAGGATCCCCACTTCACAGGCAAAGAACTTTAGAACTCCCTCGAGGCTGCCGGGCCCTCCTGAGCTGCTCCTGGAGATAATGAGCTCCTGCTACAGGAGGGAGGCAAGCAGAAACCCAAGAAGGGACCCAAGCACCAGGCAGCAGCGGTTGGGACTCAGGGAGAGTCTGGGAGGCCATATCTGTCCCAAACCAGACCAAGAGGCCGAGAGTGCGAGGGACTGGACTCGCCAGCAAGGAGTCAGCTGAAGTTGGCACAGGCGGGCCGGTACGGAATCTCTACCCACTGGCGCCCTGCCAGGCAGCGCTGCTATGCCCTCTCCCCTTTCCACCTTCCGCACCCTACTTGCCAGCTGACCCCAAAGGCGCCCAGCTAGGCCAAGACTGGGCAGTGGCGCGGGGACAGGCTGTTCTGACTTAGTCCCGGGAACGGGCTGACTTTGTCCTCCAGCAAAACTGTTCCTGAAGGACAGGGTTCTGGGGTCTGGGACTAAAGGCCCCCTGTCCTCTTTAATAAGAGCAGAGCCCGGGCTGGGCAGGTGGAGAAGGAGCGTTGCCCCTCCCTCTGACCCTGAATAATGTCCTTGCAAACAGCAGCTCCTACTGAAGGAGCCTATCCCTGTGCCAGGCACTGGGCTAGACTTGCCGCAGGAATGACCTTGCTCAGTCATCACAGCTCTGGGGTAGGTGCCAATATGCACAATTTACAGATGAGAAAACTGAGGCAACGCGAGGTTATGTGACCGATTCACAGATCTGCAGCGAGGAGTCAGTGGTGGAGCCGGAAGCTGCATCCTAGAGCCTGACTCCGGACTCTGGGCCTCTCACCTCACCGGGTGCTGCTTCCCTCCCTCCCTCCACCTCAGTCTTCCCACCTGTGGGATGGGGAGGGAGCTGGACATACTGACCACACAGCTCTCAGAACCCACAGTGACCAGCCTGGGATTGCCAGGCAGAGACCAAGAAACCTGCTCTTTTTTCACATGTGAAAAAAAAAATGGGGACCAGGCCAAACCACACTGAACAGGTGAGGGGACTGAGGTCTATGGGGGTAAAGGCTGTCCCCAAGGCCCCCCCCAGGAGCTCAGGGCAGGACCCAAGCACTTTTCCAGTCTGCTTTCCAGAAGCTTGGCATAGCCAAAGCCCCTCTGAGGCCGGGGTCCCGGTGTGAGTAATGGAAACCCGGCAGTGGGCCCTTCCGAAATGGGAATTCCATCTGCCTGACTCTGTTCTCCTGGACTCTGGTTTCCATGGCAATTTGGGGTGGGAAGGTGGAGGGCCTGGAGGAGGGCTACATCCCTGGTATAAAGAAAGGGGAGTCTCCTATGGGCGGAGTGTCTCCTCCAAGCAGAAGATGCCCTCGCTCCCGGGGAGGCGCACGTCGCTGCTCCCCGGCCCTTCCTCGGTGAGGCACTGGCAGCTGCCCTTCACCACGACACAGCCACGCACGGCTCACTGGCCAGGTCTGGTGCCTGGAAGGAGACCCAGCCCATTCCTGGAAGAGCTCACATTCCTGCGCTAGGGGAAAGGCTGTAACACGTTGAGCGCCTACTGTATGCCTGGCCCCAGGTTAGGCCTTGAGACCTCCATTTCGGATGCTCCCCTCATTCGGGTGGCCTCGCCCAGGGAGACCAGGGGGGAAAGCAGGGAGGAGAGTGCACAGCCCCGTGTCCTTTGCATCTCCAAGTGCCCAGTGGGCAGACCCGAACCCAGGACACCAGACAGGGAACAAGATCCAAGGAGAGGGGTCCAGCCCCTCTTGCACCAACCAATTCCATCCAGATTTAAGCTGAGCCAGTCCCCACCCACAGGCCGGATCCTGGCACCTGCCCCAGACCCTGGCAGGTTGCATGTGTGGGCATCAGGGAAAGCCTTGACATCAGCTTGGCTTACGTTCCAGGCCCTCCTCCACCCTCCAGGAAAGTGGGCCAGGGCCTCCCTGAACTGTGGCTGGGGACCAGGCCTTTCCTAAACTTGCGTCTCCTGTTGGGCACAGAGGGGGATGCCTTCCCCAGGGCCACAGAGGGACCCTGGGAGCCCTACTCCCTGTCACCGCCCCAGCTCTCCCTTCTGTCCTAAAGGCCTCATCTGCCCTGCTGCCCTGCCAAAGATTCTGGCCCATCCACCTCCACCAACCATCCCTGTGACACCTGAACGTCCCGCCAGAATCTCAGGGTGTGGCCGGGCGGAGAAGTGAAGGAACTTGCTGACGGTCGCGTGGCCAGCTGGTGACCAAGGTGGGACTCCATCCTGGGGCAGCCAGTTGGGCTTAGACTGCACCCTGTCTCTGCCACTCGCCTGCTGGGCGACCTTGAACAAGTCGCCTTCCCTGCCTGCGTATCACGCTCCTCGTTGGTGAAATGGGGACAACCCCCTCCTCCCAGGCTCGCAGAGAAGGTAAGCGGAACAAGCAAGGCAGAGCCGGTCACAGAGGCCGCGGGGGTCAGGGAGCAGCTCTCACCACTGGATGGTGTCTATGGCTCCAGGGTGGGAGGCAGGTGATGGCTAGAGAGGAGGAGAAGCTGGACCAGCAGGCCAACCACCAACCCTCCCAGCCCCAGCCGCCCTGGGAAGCCTCAAAACCAGGAACACACAGAAAGGGTCAAAAACAAGAACTAACACAGGCCTTTTATTTGTTCCAGAACTTGGCTGCTGTGTGGTCTGAGGGTGTCATGCTTTCCCAGAGCCCCTATCGGACCTCCTTCCTCGAGGGCGCTGGATTTCTGGGCGAGGTCAGACTGTACCGCCCGCTCCTCCGGGCCTCGTCAGCCCAGAAGGCCCAGCTGCCTGCCACTGGTGCCTGGGACCAGCAAGTCCCCTGAACCTGGGAAATGGTGCCCACCTTCTCGGCAAGGTGGCTTTTCACAAGGCGTTGGTTAAAATATTGCACTTGTAAATTAGGAAAACTGATGAGGCAACGGTTTCCTGTCACAGGAAGACGTGTCAAGCATCCTACTACTGTTTAAATAAATAAAAACTCAAGGCGGGGGTCTGCGCGAGCCCCAGCGGCCCCTGGAGAGCCCTGGAGGCCGGGCCATGCCCCTGCCCCACCAGCCGGTTCTTTAAGGAACTTGGTCGATGCGAGGTCTCCGCAGCAGGGAGCAGCAGCTCCGGATCTGGCTCAGCCAGGGCCCCTGACCTGCCGGGGCCCTTGAGCCCCCTCGTACCGCGGCAGTGGGGACCCAATGGGGCCAGTCCTTCTCTCCTCCGGTGGCCTGGGCCTCTCTTGGTCCAAGCCTCTCATCCAAATGTCCATCTGTCTGTCCGGAGACGTGGCCTCTGGGGGCTTGGTTGCCCCCTCCGTCGCAGGGGAGAGGGAGGCGTAGGAGGAAGCCCAGCCCTCCTGGTGTGAATGCTGAGCTCTACCCTGGCGGCCCCTAAAGTGGGGGACTCATCTTCTTTTGGTTAACGAGGTCCAGGTAGAGGTCAGAGCGGAGGAAGCGTGGGTACGAGTCCTTTTCCATGAGCCCGAAGATGCGCTTCTGCGCCAGGTCGAAGCAGCCCCGCGTGACACTCTGCAGGTTGTCCTTGGTGTGCTCCCGTGTGTATGAGTCCAGGTTTACCTTCGGGGCAGAGGTGGCATGGTCAGGGCCGCCGGCAGGGGGCTGACCCTGGGGACCGGGGGTGGGGGTGGGGCCTACCCAGCCTCTCACCTCCAAGCCCCTCTGCTCCACATCACAAGGTTCAGAGTGGAGGCCCTCAGGCCGGCAGTTCAAGTCTTAGCTCGTCACTTACTGAAGGGCCTGAAAGCCACCTCCAGGGTCAGGCTGCCGGGATTTAAATCCCAGTAGCGCCACACCTACGTGTGTGGCTTTGAGCAAATCACTTAAGTGCTCTGAGCCTCAGTTGTCTTATCTACAGCTTAGGAATAATAGTACCTTCTTCCAAGAGTTGTACAAATTAAGTTAGACCAGTGGTCGGCAAACTGCGGCTCGCGAGCCACACGCGGCTCTTTGGCCCCTTGAGTGTGGCTCTTCCACAAAATACTGACTTCTGCGCATGGGTCACGAAGTTTCAGTTGCACTGTACATGCGCGCCCGCACGTGGTATTTTGTGGAAGAGGCACACTCAAGGGGCCAAAGAGCCACGTGTGGCTTGCGAGCCGCAGTTTGCCGACCACTGAGCTAGATCATACATCCGTGTTAAACAGATAGGGGTTGAATCAATAGACCACCCCTGTGGCCGTGCACACAGTAAGCACTCAATAGATGTTAGCTGCTGTGATTAGGCTCTCCAAGACTGTCCCTCATTTTAAAAATGAAGATAATATTAAAATCTACTTAATATTAAATTAAGTTAAATACGTGAGCCCATTCACAAAGGGCTTAGCATCGCCAGAGGCCATTTTTGTTACCAACTGAATTCAGTTCTTCCCGAGGTCCCAGCTGGCTTCCTCTCCACCCAGGACACACGGTCCCTGAGAATCACCCTGCCCTCTCCCCTTCCTGACCTCCTCCTTAAGGCATCCAGCTACCCCCAATCACTAAGAGGCCATGGGGCACAGGGACAGGCCTGAGGGCCCAGACGGGGTCCTTACCTCCTTGCACGCCTGGATGGCGATGTACTCGGCAAAGATCTTCTTGGCCTTGGCTGCCATCTTGGACTGTGACTTGACCTTCTTAAAGTCCTCGCATGCCAGCCAGAACTCCAGGTTCTCCTCGCTAAACTCGGTGCGCAGGAAGGCCTGGAACACTGCTAACCCATCTGTGCGGAGAAGTCCGGACCCGGGGTGAGAGGCAGAACCAGCCTCTCCTGCCCTCAGCACCCCCAGATTACCCTCCTGGGGCCATTAGGGTGTAAATGCCTCTGTGAGCCTGGGCCAGGTGTCTCCCCATCTGTGCCTCAGTTTCCTTGTCTGCAAAGTGGGGATCACCAGCCCCGTGAGGATCAGAGGGGATCCTACCCATGAGAGGAGGACCGCCACATTTGGCCCAGTGTGAGCCCTCACAGTTCATGGAAATGTTTCTTGTTATTCTGGGAAAATGGGTCTGAGCACACAGGTCCCAACGGCCTCTAGCAGGCACTGCCAGCTCCCATGGACAGGGAGGGGCTGGCGGAGCCGCCTCAAGGCCAGACCAAGGGCCTCAGCCCGGGCTCAGCCTCCCCCAACAATAGGGACACCTCACTGGGCCCAGGAAAGAGGGAAAGGCGACCCTGCAGGATCAGGCCCCGCTCTGGTCTAGGGGAGGAGGACGAGAGAGGGAGGGAGAGAACCCAGGGAGGGGGAACAGGCCACTGGCCCCCACTTACATTTATGAAGCAGCAGCTTCTCCAAGGACTCGCCCCACTTGAGGGCTTCTTCCGAGGTGGGCCTGAGGGCAGAGGGAAGGGGCACGGTGAGGCTCCGAAAAGTGGGGCAGCGGGGTCTGGTCGGAGTGGGGCAGCGGGGTCTGGGCAGCCTCCGTTAGCCGCCCTTGGCCCCAGGCAGTGACTGATCCTGACTGAGGAGCCCAGGAGGGGTCCACCCCCTTTCTTAGGGGTCAGCTTCACTTCTATCCCTCCCTGCCCCCCGCCCCTGCCTGGCTGTCCTTCCCAGGGCAGCTATCCCCGGAGGGCTGCTGCTTGCAGGCACCAGGCTCCCTCTATCTGAGCCTCCATCCCACCCAGAGCTGGATTCAATACCCCTTGTCTTTTAACCCCACCACCAGCCCTGCTCCCCCTCTACCCCCGCCTCCGGGAAATCAGTGAGTGCCTGAGGGGTCCCAGGGTGCCAGGGGGGACCTACTTGAATGACTTCATCACTTTGTCTGCCTTGCCTGCTGGCTGGGCCCCTGGGGACTCGTTCCGACGCCTGAAGATGCCCAGCTTGTTCTTCATGTCCTTGGCTCTGGGGGGCAGAAGCAGAGAAGGGGGTCGGTCAGCCAGGCACACTCAGACCCTGCAAATTCAGGGTTGGGAGGCCACGGGCTGGGGCAAGGGCCACCTACTCCTTCATCGTGTGCCGCCTCTGTAGGTTCCCGTTGCGCGTGAGGTACATGCCTCGGAGCATCTCCGTAGGGCCCCCCACCTTGGGGCCCGGGAAGGTCTGCAGGGAGCACTCGGGGCTCCTGCTCCCCAAGCTCTGTCCTGAGCGGCAGGCGGGCCAGGCAGCAGTGGGGCAGGATGTGGAGGAGCGAGCCTGTGCTTGCTGGGATCCCAGCCGGACTACTGGACTCTCAGGCATAGGCTGGGCTGGGACTCAGACAGGAGGAGCCAGGAAATGGGAGGGGCCAGGACTGAGAGTAGAAAAAAAATCCCTCCTGGCCAACCCTGAGAGGGAGCCCGTGAAAGGGGCTGTGTCTGCAAGGGGCGGCCTCTGGGGCCCGCCCAGGCAGGAAGCCAGGCCCAGTTATTTGTGAGTGGCCTCCCCCGTTACCACGGCAGCGCTGGGGGAAGGAGAAGTCAGCAAATTGCCGGGAGGGAAGAGGGGAGGAGGGAGAGCCTGTGCACACCAGGGTGGCAGGACTGCCTATTTTTAGCCAAGAACTATTTTTAGCTTTGCCACTCCCCCTATGGCTGCAGATTTCAGTCCTGGGCAGAGCTGCTAGCAGCAAAGGGTTAAATGTCTCATGCTCCTATTCGCCCGCCCTCCCCCCCCCTTTTCTCTAGACCCCCTACCCTGGGCACCCCCCAGAGAATAGCTACCAACCTCAGCCACTGGCTTTGGATACCCCCATCCATGAACATGCAGGATGCGCCAAATGTCTTAGTACAGTTTTAAGCTTAAATAACTTCAGAAGAACAAGTCCTATAAACTTTCAAAAACATCTTTTGAAAGTGCAATTACTTAGTCTTTAAAACATTTTTGAGTAAGTGTTTTTGTTTTGACTTTTTATCTCCACCTTTCTGATTAAAGATGAGAAATGCTGACTGAAAGCAAACATTTAAAAGGTACGATCTAAATCAGGAAGCTAAATACGTGCAAAAGAAATGTAAAAAACTCAACTTTAAATGTGTTTTATAAGTCGGTAGCATTTATACTTCTGAACTTATTCAAACTTCAAATGGCACTAGAACCTACAGGACACCCTTGTAATTGAGGGGAGTGGTACCCGGTGGAGGTTAAGAGTGAGAATTTGAAGCCAGACAGCCCAGGGTTCGAATCCCAGCTCCAGCAGTAACCAACTATGCGCCTTTTGTCAAGTTACCTAACCTCTCTGAATGTCACATTTTCTCATCAGTTAAACAGGGATGACAAAGGTACTTAACATCTGCTGGGGTTGTTTCAAGGCCAGGATAAGATGCACAGAAGGCTTTAACACAGTGAGTGCCAGGGGCAAAACAGCTCCGGCTTGGGAGCCGAGGCCCACATGCCTACCTGAGGGTCTGGGGCAGCTGCCCAGGGATGGGGACCCTGCTCTAGAAGGTTCCAAGCCAATGAGATAAGGCCAAGGAGTCCAGGGATTGGCAGCCCTCTGGGTGAGGACTGGGCCGGCAGAGAGCCCTGGGGTGGCTGGAAGTGAGAGAGCACAGCTTCCTGAGCCTGGTGCTCAGAACCCCTGCTCCAGGCCCACTGTGCAGATGGGTACACAGAAGTGGGGGGGGGGGGGGAGCTTGCCTGAGGCCCAACCTTTAGGGGCTCCTTGCTGGCTCAGAGCCCACAGGGAACAGCAGAGAGAAGCCTGCAGCTGCTGCAGGAAACGAGCGGGCAGGGGCACTGGGGGAAGATCGTTTCTACCGCAGTGGAGCCCAGCTAAGGTCGAGGCAAGGGAAGAAGGTTGCAGGAGGCATCTGGGAAAGATCCCTGTTCTCCCCGCTAAGCCCAATTTGTGCATAATGGTGGGCACTCCAGGACCTGGAGAGGAGGTCGCCTCCCGGTGCCACCATGTGTCCCTTTACTTCCCGCCCTGTCCTTCTCTGCAGTCTCCAGGGTCTCGGCCTGGGGGAAAGGAGACCCCAGGAGACTCTCCACACCTTTGTTAACTGACACTTCTAACAAACCCCAAAACAAAAGCGTAAGGGAGCCTGAGCATGGCCCCGGAAAGGCTTGGGGAATATGGGATTCGCTATCTGAGCCAGCAGCGCCCCCTCCTGGCAATGTCCGAGACTGTTATTATTCAAGAGCCAAGAGGAGAAAGGGGAACCTTACCCACTGTCTGTTCAGCCCTTTCTCAGAGGCAGCAAAGAACTCGTTGAGGTCTCTCAGCCACTGCTTGTTTCAAAGGCTGGGGCAGGGCAATGGCAGCCTGGCCGGCTGCCTCTGCTTGGTTCCCAGTGGCTTCCAGGTACTGAATCAGCACCTTGCCTGCCACTACATCGATGCTGAGGGCAGTGCCAGAAGCTCAGAACCCTGGTGACCCCGCCCTGGAGCCACTGCTAAGTCCCAAGGTTCTGCTGTTCCCTGTGTCTGTCTGGGGCAGGACTGGGTGCAGCCCCTTCTCCCCACCTGTACCCCTGGAGGAGGAAGAGGGGTGCAAGGGTGAGGGCCATGGATCTTTCCAACGTACAGGTTTTTGCTCTTTCTCTTCCGGGAGCCTTCGTCATTGTCCCCAACCGTGTCGGGCCCACTCATCTGCGGAGAAAAGACAGATAATGTTGTAATCCAGAGGCTGCTGCCTGAGCAAAGAGAGACTCGGGCATCCAACAGCTCCTGCAAAATCGCTCCCTCGAATCCCCTCCAAAGTCCCCACCCCTCACAGAACAGGCGAGGAAGCGAGACCCCACTGTCCACGGAACACAGCTGGCTTGGCCGAGCCTCCCCCCAAGGGTCTCCTCCTAGTGCACTTAGGACCTGGCTTGCTGAGAAGAGGGCAGAGACGTCACTGCAGGCAGTAGGGCCGGCTGGGGAGCAGCACTTCAGCAGGGGTTCTGCTGTGTGACTGGGCCAATTGCTGTCCTTCTCTGAGCCTCTATTCCTTAATTTCAAAATTGAAATCATAATGACTAACTCGGGATTCTGCCATTTGAAAGACACCTGGGACTGCTCAGTAGTGTGTAAAGTGCCTCTCTTGCCTTCAAACTATGGCTCCCAAGTACCCTCGGGAAAACATCCAAACTCCATAACATGACGTGCAGGGTCTATCATCGTAGGATCCGGGCAGAAAGTTCCATTTTAACGTCCATTACCACTCCTTAGTGATCTCCCCAGCCTGACTCCTGCTCCGGCAACCTCCCTGACCTGCCCCCAACCACACAGAATGTCCTCACTGTCTCGCCCCTTACTGTGGGCCTTCGCACATGCTATTCCTTCCATGGGGGATGCCTTCTCCTCCTAAGACCCAGCCTCTGGAAAGACCTTGACCTCGGAAAGGTGCTTAAATGCCTCCTCACCTGGGAGGCCCTCCCTGACCCCTAGATCAAGGTTGTGCCTCCTTTACCCCCTTTGAGGTCCCCACTACACCCAAAATGGCTTGTTCCAAATCTATCTTCTCCACTGGACTGTGAGTTCCCCTGAGCAAGGCTGCTGTCTGACTGCACCTGTCTGGGGAATCTTCCCCGGACCTAGTGCACAGTATCCAATAAATATGTGTAGAATGAATGAATGAATGAATGAATGAATGCATGAACGGAGAGAGAGGGAAAGCAGACTGGGAAAGATCCATCTTGAGGTGCCTGCTGCTTGGTTCAAGGCCTGCAACTTTATCTCCCAGGCTCCACTTCAGCCCACAGATTCCACCCATTCCACCCCCATCTCCTTGCCTTTGCCTGTGCTGTGCCCTCTTCCTGGAATGCCCTCTCCTCTTCTCCCAGTCTTCACCTCCCCCTAGTCCATCACTCCTCCAGACCACTCCAGACTCACACCATCTCTACCGGGGCCTCCCTCTGTCTCGCTGTCTGTGCTTGCCTATCCTTCTCCAGGGGAAACCAGAGCCCAAACTGTGCCACCCAGAGCAGGAGCCCAGGAAATGCTCCGAGACAGCAGAGGAGCTAGCGCTCAGGGAGGGATGGGCATGGACACTATGTCCCCAGACAAGATAGAAGGCCTCCAGGCGTGGCTCTCAGCTCTGATTTCTCATGAGCCCCACCCTGGGTATCAGTTTTCTCACTAGTAAAATAAAGATGCGCTACGCCTTAAAATACTGTGTTAATTCTGGAAAGAAAAATAATCCAGAGGTATCCAGCAGGAGGAGCTACTAGCCTCGGTAAAGCACACACCCATGGATGGACGGACAGACAGATGGATGGAAGGATGCATGCATGCATACATGGATAGACCTACAGATGGACAGATGAAGGACAGGTGAAGTATAGCATCTTTTATAGAGCTTGGACTATAGGCCAGACCTTGGGATGGGCATTATTCAGACACTATCTCATTCATCTTTAGGGAAAGTCCATAAAGTAAACAGAGGCTCAGAGAAGGTAAGCTACTTGGCCAGGGATACCCAGCATTTAACTGACAGCAGGAACCTAGGTCTATCCGAATGCAAACCATGTGTTTCTCCGCCAGAGGATGCTGCTACGCAAAGGCGAGGACGGAGCACGTTTTGAATGTTTTCAGTGAAAGACTCGGGGGAAATGCCGCCTCCTTCCTGAGAACGCTGCCCCACCAAGGCTGTAAGCACGAGTGTGTACGTGCACACACAGGCACACGCCCGTCTGTGACAAGGGATTCCAGAGCTCGGTTTGCAGCCAGGCCTGGCTGGGTATGGATCCTCTTTCCGCTGGCTTTGGAGAAGTCTCCCAGCCCCTCAGCTTCGGCTTCTTTAGTTCTAAGGTAAGGCATGGGGCTGACCACACCCCCCACTGTTGGAAGGTTCCCCGCATGGCCCAACCTTGGCACACAGTGTGTCCTCACGACCCAGAGGCTGCTGTGTTCATTGCCCAGTGAGTGCTACTACTGTCACCCATTGAATATACAAGCTGTGGTCACGCCGGCCTGGCGAGGCGGTGCCCGAGGCCCCCACCCGTGGGAAAGGGCCCAGGCGCTGTGCTTCCTCCCATTCTAACCTCAGCTTCCGCACTTTATCAGCACCACACAATGGGCCTGGGGACCGCTCCCACCCGCCCGCCAGCCCCAGCCTCTGCACTGCTGGGAAATGGGCTCTTCCTGCCACTGCTGGGAGGGGGTCATCTTCGGGAGAGGGGTCATCTTCGGCAGGGACCAGCCAAGCCAATCCCCCTGACAGAGGGGCCGGGCAGCTCTGGCCCTGGGAGTCGGCCCCCAAAGGTGCCAGGAAAACCCAGGCACCAAGGGGTGGGGGACAGAAAGTGAAGAAACTAAGATGAAAAGTTAGGATTCTCATTTGCAGCCAGAGTAGCTCCCAAGGTCCTCTCTACGGGAACTGCAGCCAGGCCTGCCCAGGGCCCAGCACACAGAGGGCCTCTCCTTCTCCTCTGCTCCCCACCATCTCTATCTAAGCTACGTGACCCGCCCTGATGAATGGCTAACAGAGGTGGGCTGAGCCCAGAATCATCTCCCTTCACTCCAGGCAGGACTCCCTGGGGCCTGCCCAGCCCCACCCGGCCATCTCCAGGGACTGAGAGCTCACTGCCTCTTGGAATAATAATTATACTTTTTATTGTAATTAGAACTATCATCATAGCAGTAAAGATGCTAAACTGCCTGGATTTGAATTCCAGCTCCGTCGTTTATCAGCTAACAGGCCTCAGACGAGCTACGTCCCTTTTCTGGGCCTTGGTTTCTTTACCTGGAGGAGGAGGAGGATCATTGGACCCACCTCTTATTATAAGGGTTAACGTTAGCCCGTAAGAAGTGCAGAGCACAGTGTCTGTCCGTGATGTGCTCAGTAACTATTAGCCATGTCGTTGCTGCTGTTACTTGCTGAGCGCTCACGATGTGCCAGGCGCCAAGCGGAAGTGCTATTCAGATGTGAGCACATTTGGAATGTTTTCAGTGAAAGACTCAGGGGAAATGCCGCCTCCTTCCTGAGAGCGCTGCCCATCGGAGTTGCAAAGACGTGTGTGTACGTGCACACACAGGCGGTTACTACCTTTACCCAATTTAATCTTTGCAACAATTCTAAGAACTATTTGCTTATTGCTCCCAGTTTGCAGGTGGGAAAACTGAGGCCCAGAGCAGTTCCGTTACCTGCATGGGCTCTCAGAGCTGGTAAGTAGCAGCGAGTTTTGGGCCCAGATCCAGACTCCACCCAGGACTGAGGGCGCTTCTGTGAGCAGGGCCTCGCAAGGTTTCCCAGCCTGGCAGGCCCCATGGAACCCTGTGGAAACACTGGATCTAAACTCTACACTTATTTGTTTAGACACAGGAAATCATTTCTCTTAGGCTCTTCTTAAATAGGAGGCTGGAAGGTGTTATCACCTCTCGGATCTGGAAGGCATCCTAGGAGCCCTCTTGTCTGACCCGCAACC